TCATTCTTATCTCTATATATACTATCTATCTAGAGGCTATGTGGCAAAGTTCTATAAGACCTCTAATATGTGTTGACTTTGTAGGACACATGCCTTGACTTATAAGATAAGTTTTTCTATGTGTGGGCCACATAGTTAGCTTGGTCTTCAAGCTAACAACATAAGTGACACATGGCCAACTTGTTGACCACTTTTTTAATCCAAAAAATCAATTATAGACACCTATAAAGTCAAAGGAACATCTATAAAGCTTCTAAGAAGCTTTTATAGAAGATATTATAGAATTAACTTACTTTTACCTACTTCTATTTACTTCTATGTATGTATACAGGTAATTATTGGCTTATATGTGTATGTCCATGACAAGAAGTTCTTAATTAATTTTTAAGAAAATTTTAGACCAAATCCAAAACCAAATCCTAATCAAACTCTAGATCTTAAATAAACTCTTATCAAATCATATAGCAAATAGAACATCAACAACTAATAAATAAACTGTTGATATCAATTCAAAATTTGGATACTTTTTAACATCTTAGTTAAGAACAAGTACAAGAAAGATGAAATCAATTATACTAACTAATTAAAAAAAATATCAAATAATCCAATTTAGTGTTAGGTGGCTTATTACTTTTATCTAAGTGCTAAACTTCTAGTACCAATATCTCCTCTTTGAATAGTTGAATTTCTTCCAAATTTTTCCTAATATGTTAGAAAGGAAGTTTAGTATCTATTTTTAAAAAATTCACTTCAATCCAATTGAAAAATTGTTGAAGATCTTAGACATAGTCATTGATCCTCAAACTCCAATTTCTAAGACCTAAATCTACAAAAGCCTTCACACGCTTTGATCTAAGTATTTGATTGACCTCAAAATTTTTATATATATTTACAAATATTATACCAATACATTTTCCAAAATTCACTTGTATATTCACCACAAAACTCAAGAAATCTTAAAATTTATAAACTTATTTTTATTTCTAAAAATTTAATCAACTAAAAATATTATTAATTTTAAAAATCACTCAAAATTTTAATATTAACTCAATTGAATTAAATTTATGTTCGAAAATCCCTTCTTATGTCTACTCCCAAATTCCTTTATTTAATCTTTCCAAAGAACTATAGAGCCACTATAATTGTATAGTTTTCCACCTTAGGATCTGATTTTGATCCAAATTGACAATTAATCCTCTTTGGATATCAATTCTTGGCTTCTTAAGGTAAAATTTACTAAAAACTAATCTTTATTCTTTCCTACACATGCTTAAATTATTTAATTTTCCAATCTACTCTATTTTGCCTTATTTATGGCCCTATAAAGTAAGTAGAAGCCTATTTTGTAAAAAAGCAGTATTGGTACTTTTTAATTTTACTATCTTTTTGACTATTATCTATATTTTTAAGATATTTTTTTTATATTATTTTAAAATAATTTCTTCTATAATATAATATTTTCTTTTTTATTTCATTCAATAGATGTATTACATCATAATAACATTTTTTGTGAGTTTTTTGATGATTTTGTTGTTTGCTATTTAAATAGTTTTTTAATCTATTCTAACAATATAAAAGAGTATAAACTTCATGTTTGTTGTGTGTTACAAAAACTTAAAGATGTAAGATTACATATTAAGATAAAAAAAGTATATTTTCCATATTACTCAAGTTGACTTCCTAGAGTACATTATTTCTAATGAAGAATAAATAATGGATCTGAAGAAGGTCTAGACAATTATAAATTGAAATATTTTAATAATAGTAAGAAATGTTCAATTCTTTTTGGGCTTTGCCAAGTACTATCAAATCTTCATTTAGAATTTTTTTTAATTTGCAACCTTGTTTATATGTTTGACTTCTAAAGACTAACTTAAATAGAATAAAGAAGCTAAAGTAGTGTTTGATGCTTTGAAGAAAGAATTTACTTCTACGCAAATCTTATATTGCGTTGATTTTTTTAGGCATTTTTCATAGAAATAGATGCATTAAACTTTGCTTTAGGTATAATATTGTTATAAATTGGAATGCATGAAAAATTCCAATTTAATTACTTTTTATTTCAAAAAATTTTGTGGAGCAAAGATCAACTATAAAATCCATGCTAAAGAAGTTTATGCAATTATAGATTCTTTTTAAGAAAAACATTATTATTTAGAAGGTACTTCCAGTCTAGGCATTATATATATAGACCACAAAAATCTAAATTATTTTATATCAATACGTATGTTGAATCATTATTAAGCTTGTTAGAGTATGTTATTATGAAGATTTGTTCTTATAATCACATATCAACCTAGAAAAAAATAAGATTTGTCAAATATGATTTTAAAAAAAATATATTTTATACCAAAAGAAAGAAATGAATCTTTTAATCAATAGAGATGAATTTTCTTGAAGCTAGAGCATTTTCATCTTCAAGCCATAAAATCAACATTTATTATTGATTGAATATTTGTCAAGCAAGTTTAATCAAGTATGTCTTTACATCCTCTTGTTTATAATATTAAAAATAATTATATTAAGTCTTAAGATACTTTTAAATTTAAATTGAAAAATAACTATATTAAGTCTTAATGTACTTCTAAATTTAAATTTAAAAATAATCTATTCTATTTCTAGGAAAAATAATACATTCTAAAAGGTAAAGTGCAATTATATATTTTTTAAGCATGTCATGACTTTCAACAATCAAATATTTTGGATACAACAAAATTTTGGAACAAATATCTAAAGACTTTTAGTGGCCTCAAATGTGGAATGTAGTCAAAGATTTTGTATAATCATATGATGTTTGTTTAAGATGAAAAATTTCCTGTCATTGACTTTATGGATTTTTTCAACCATTATTTATTTTAGAACAAGTATAGTCTTTTGTTTCTATGGACTTTATTATGGATCTTCTAGTCTCATATTTGTATGATTCTATATTCATGATAGTAAATCAATTCACCAACATGGCATATTTTGTACTATGTACTAAATCTATTATAGGTAAAAAAAAATAAAATATATCTTCAATTTCTATCTTCTAATTCATAGTTATACAAAGCAAGTGAATCAAGTTTTGGATTAGTCTTTGAACTGAATCATCAATTAGTAAGAAAATGATTGGATAATTTTTTTGACATTGGCAGAGTTTGTTTATAATAACAATGTATATTCTTCTACTTAATAAACATCTTTCTTTGCTAATTATGATTAATATTTGTGACTAAATATTTTTGACTTCTTAAAAGTTGATAATCTTGTAATAAAAGATTTAAAAAATTATTTGTAAAGCTAAATTCAAGAATATATAAACAATTTTTCAAATCTTTTATAGATTTGAAAAATTATTTGTAAAACTACCTTCAACATGTAATTACCGCTCTTTATAGAACTTATTTCTAAAAAAGGAATGGAAATAATGTCATGGATATATATATATATATATATATATATATATTTATTCTAATAGTTACTTAGATATTATGAATAGATGTAAGTAAGTTAATTTGATAATATCTTATTAAAAAGCTTCCTAGAAGCTTTATAAACCAGATTTCACATTCATACACATATATAGGTGATTTATAAGTTAAAAAATTAGCCAACAAGTTAGTCATGTATTATATATATTGGTAGCTTGTGGTATAAGGTAATGATGTGGTTCACATATAAAAAACTTATCTTATAAGTTAAAATATGTGTCTTACAAATTGAAGACAAGGTAGAGATTGTTTAGAACGTTGCTACATAGCTTCTAATTAGATAGTGTATATGGAACTAAGAATGAAGCCTTCTTCAATCTTGTCAATATCTTTCTAGTTTTTAGTCTTGTTTCAAGACTTTCTAATCATCTTATCTTTGGCAATAGCTATCCCAATTTCAATACCATATTAATTTTGAGTGAAAATCTATTCTTTTTGAATTACACTAGACTGTTTAGAATCTTTGGTTCTTCAAGATTCATATCCTTGATAGTTGGATCTAAGAGCTTTGCACATGTTTTAAAAAGTTTGAAAATTTAAATTCTAATTATAAAATTATAATTTAATATGAAATAAACTTATTTAAGATTTATCTAAGATCTTATAAAGAATTGATGTTGATATAGATTATGTATTATAAAACCACAATTATTAATATATAAAAGTTGTAATCTAAGAATAATACTTTTATACTATGTCAACTATGAATACTAAGCTAATTCAAAAATTTTGCTACAAAGGTTTTGAAATTGCTATAAAAGAAGATATACTTGGGACTAAAAATATTGTATGGTTTATAAATCATATACAATTCTTTAAATAATAAGAATTCTAAAAAATATTTTTATAGAAATATATAATATTTGATAAAGTTATTCTAATATAATTTAAGAGATTTCAAATATTTGGTTATTACTTTAAGATTCTTGTATTCAAAGTAATATAAAATTATTTAATAAAAAAAATTAAAATTTTTACAAGTTATTAAGCTAATATAATAGAATCTTATTAAATAAGGTCAAATAAATTGTAGAAATATTTTCAAATCAAATAAAAGAGCAACTAAGTAATTTTAATATATATATATATATATATATATATATACTTCACTTATTGAAGACATCCTATATGTTTCAAAAGATGCGAGGTATAAAAATTAAAATTAAAAGTAAATAAATAAAGTCTAGGATTTAAAAAATAGATAAAAAGGATTGATTATTCATGAAACAAAAGAAAAATATTAGTAATGTTCTATTCTGAATAATGTAAATGTTGTATTTCTATGTGCACCTTCTTTGTAGGATGTTATGACTGTTATTGACTTGTTGGTAACCACCACAACTAATTAAATGCATTATGTATACCCCAATTGTATAAAATGCGAGAATAAAAACACAAAATCATGTGTCAAATGAGGCAAACAACATATAAATTTCCATCTCCAACTAAGTCTGTTCATCCATAAGTTCATCCACCCCCCTGCTCAATTGGTTCCCAGCGCGCATTGAGCCTACTTCGCAAGTTCCTTGCTCAACCTGATATCTCATTTATATCACGGATCTCCGATGACGATCGTTTGCATTTCCTTGCACTCAAATTCATGCTTATGAGCGTGGTAACTTGGATGCAATGCAAAATATAGAGATAAGTTTATTTTTGTTGACGCATTGAACTGTTTCAATCCCTAAGTTGTTGTGGAGACTCCGTGCTCACTGCTTGAGCTCGGGCAGGTCTGGGCAAGAGAAAAATCCGAGTCATGTGGAGGCTTTCTATTGCCGTGGCGGAGATTCTTTGGCAGGGAATTTGGAATGGCGACGCCGGGGCGGAATCAGCGCCGTCTTGAGCTCCATGTCGTGTTTCTGCTGCTTTTCTTGTTTGCGAATTTGAGCCACGCAGTTTTGGAGAACTCGTCTATGGTTTGGCGGTACGCTGGGGAGGAGCCGAGCTTAGTTGCGTCGGTTACGAGTCCCCAGGAGTATTCGTCTAAGGTAGGAGTCTTGATCGATTTGCGTAATGATGAGTAGTGCAGAGCGTTGCTTTGTATGGCAAAAAAAAAAAACTATGAATTTACAGAATAAGGAAAATAATTTTTTTCAAGTGTGATTGATCGTTGAGGGATGGATAAGTGGTTTTTTGAATGATTAATCATTGTCTCATTAACGAGTTCGATGGACGTTCTGAATTTACTATATATCACTAAAATAGTTCGTGGAATGGAATTAATTGGGCACTGAAATGTGTATCCAACCGCGTATATGCTGGTGCATGGAAATCGCCAGGATTATATTTCTTTTTTAGAGTGGCGTGCAGTTGTTTTAATCCAGACATGGCGCGGATACCTGACGCAAAAAGTGACGCAAGAATCTTCTGCAGACAATGCCATTGATCTCGTGAAGGGTATTATTCTTTCTAGTCGATTCTGATCCAAGCATTACTTGCAAACGGTTCTGAAATTTTCACATATAAGTAGTGAATGCTGCATTGTTCACTTCATATTAATTTTTTAGAACATACATCTCAATTTTGTTCAACTGTAGAGTCTAATGAATCATACTAGCAAGATTTAACCAGATGGTGTTATTAATGTGAATGGCATCGGCCTGAAGAACCTCTGATGATTTCAAGACAGGTCTTTCTAGCAATCATATGGTACCTCATGTAGAGCTCTTTCAGCTTAAAAGAAATATAGATGAAATTCAGTGGTCAGTTTGATTCGTTTTCCTGGGTGTAAGTAAGTCATGACGTTGATGGATCCCCGTGATGATCTACTTTATCTTAAGTAAATTTTAATTTTCCAACTGGTAGGCTCTGATCTGTGTGATTGGCTCTTCGAATCTGTGCGCTCATCTTGTAAATCTATCTTCTATCGATCTGACAGAGATCTCCCAGAGCCCCTTGGACTGGTAGGTTTGATTCATGTACGTTTAAAGACTGACCGTGACATTATCTGTCCTAGGGCCTTGCAATTCTGAAACGAAAAAGTTGGTATCGTGCCCCGTGCAGTGCTTCAGAGTTGATCCGTACGTGTTGTTTCTTCGTAACCTCGGATTTTGATTCTTTATTAATTTTCCTCCTTCTCCATGTTAACTAATCCACAAGTCGATTAATTCAAGTCCTTCATACTTTTTTTCTACTGTTTAAGATACATGAAGGTCGTGTATTCGTTGCTGAAGTGCGGGGTGTCTTGCTGTTTTGTTTTGCAGGGTTTGTGGGACAGATAATGTCACGTATTGGTAACCACCTACTCATTTTTTTCATTTCTGGCATATGATAAAGACTATGCATCATCATTTTTCAATCAGAGAATTATGGATTATAGGATATATTTCTGGTGTGTGCATGCAGTTCTTATAATGTTAGTGGAATTTTTTACTACCTTAGATTCGCCATGCAACTTCATTTCGTTGGTATCTTCAGTACTGGTATTCTGATCCTTGTAAGTAATAATAGGTGTGGAGCTGCTGATGCGAAGTGTGCAGGAGTGGGCGTAGCTCATGATGGACACTGTAATTTGTGGGAGTTAAATGCAAACGTTGGTTCTACAACTGCAGTGCGTGCTGCTCAATCTTTACAACTGGTTCACATGCTCTGGCTAGTAGTCGCAGGTTTATTGATTGTGCTGGGTTCGGTTTGAATTCAGCGCATCACTTTCCGTTTTGAATAGAACGATTCTTTTTATTCTAAAAATTCAGGAGGTTATTCATCAGCACTTCAACGACTGTAGATTTAGAACTTGAGGCACCCAGGTCGATTCACCAGTTCAATTTTTGTGTGTAGTTGAGAACGTTCACGTACTGTACATTTATTCTACGATTCTTGTGGGGTAAATTCTCTCCATCATTACCTTTAGCATTTAATCCAAAGACTCCCTCTTTTATGTTAATTCAGTGTATATTCCTGGAGCACTTAGGACCAACCAGCCATTGTTGTTCAGCAGTGCAGGTGACCTAATAGCCAGGATTTGATGACCATTGTTCGAGACGGGTGCGTTGGTAGTGTTTGCTAGTCAGTGAGGAACTCTAGAGTGAGTATATGACCTGTGGAGGCATTTTAGATGCTTGAAGTCTTTGAGGAGACGGTTGACTTGTCACCACTTTCCCAAGAAGGACAGGCTCTTTTGAAGTAATTTAAGATTATGAGATTATGTACACTGGTATCACTAGGAACAAGGTAACTGGTGGTAATTGAGCTGGCTCGATCGGACTAGGCGTCCTCCGTTGTACCCAAGGTGATTGAAACAGTCAGTTCCCATTCACTTTTTATGGGATTGAATCGCAGCGAGAATAGTTCCCTACTGAGAAATACCTGTATTGCTTACCTTTCATGTTTTGATGACTGTTCTGACTCCTAATGCTGTAGTCTGTTTCATATCCTTTTATCCTGCTGTTATTGGACCCCGAACCGCCTTAATTTGTTCGATCACTGATTCTGAAGGTTTCAGGTTTAGAGGTTTTCGCTCCAGTAGTGAAGTAGGTATTTTACGAGTTCTCAATGAGTGATAAATTGCGGAGGTTTGTATTGGCACTGGTACTGGTTGGATTGGGGACGTTGCATACAAGATTAGAAGAATTTGCCGAAGGAATCAAATGGGTTGAACTCCACCATTACCTCAATATGCTTAGTTTTGACCACCTTTGCTACTTACATGGATGACCTGTATAAGATCTACTTCATCACTTCACATTTCGTTTAGGTTCGAGTTACCACTATGGTGAGGATGAGGAGGTGTTCAATCCTTGTGATGCGCTTGTGGGCTTTCTGAAGCTGTGAAAGATGCAACGCAATGAATCGGCTGGGGGATTTCCCATGTTTTAAGACTTTAACATCAATCCAACCTCCTCCGTTTGCGGGCCAAGGTCAACTGGTCCTCATGATGTGCAACTGATTCCTCCCCAAGAGCAACCACGTGCGAAGCCTCTTCACAATGTTCCCTCATCCTTCTTGAGCTTCTAACCGGTTGAGGCTCTGGCTCGATCCTCTCAGAGCCGGTCTCATACCCATCAGCGGCATTTGGACTTTGTTCAGAACCAGATGCAACTTCCTGTGGCGTTGAGGTTGCATTTATCTCGGCAAGCAAGCCATTTGGAGTCAGGTTCTCAGTATCACCAATCCGGACTGAACTGAGGTTTTCCCTGTGTGTAGTGGCTATGGATTGTGACATTTGATTTCCTGCAATGGGACGCTCCAAGCTTTGCATAAGTTGCTCGATGTTGTTGAGTCTGTTGCGCATGGTGGTGATCCAGTCTGATAATTGAGAGGGGTGAACTGCTAAGTGGTTGATGGTATCTTCCTGTGAATGTTGAGAACCTTGGGAAGCGGCCGAAGCCATCATCCGTCGTCTTTGTTGTGCGGCATCAGCATCAAGCTCTATGTTCCCTTCCATGTTTGCTAGCCGTGCATGCATTGATGCTAACCATGCTGTAGCCTGCACAGACTAGTCCAGTTTTAGTGAGATGATACAACTACTACTTGGCGCAGCTTGGCTTGTGTAAATACATCTATATGTGTAAAGATGTGATTTATTTTCTGTGAAAACAAATTACTAGCTATTGTTCTTGGCAATTTTCTAAAATTCGAAACAACTAAAGGCCATGCAGGGTTTTTTTAAACACTATGATGATATTTGAAAACAATTTAAAAGACTTCTGTTCTGAAGGTTCTTTCACCAGATTCTCATATGGCCCTCCAGGAAATTGTTAAGTTATTTTTGAGAAGTACAAGCATAGATGTGTTGGAGCCAACTTTGTTTCCCAACATTCTCATGTTGTGCATGTTTTTGAGTTACCTGTGTAGGGTCTACCGCAAGACGGCTGCCGTTGATTATATTCTCCCATTCTTGTGAGAGAACGGTACTGGCTGAGAGGGTTTGATGTCTTTCCCCATCTCTTTCCTCAAGGTTTTGGTTCATGGCAGCATTGTAACGAGAGTTTGCAAGAGCTTGCCGGAGCTGCTCTTGTCTGAAGGCTATTCTTCTTTGCAGGTAGCCGCTCTGTGAGTGTTCAATCGATTCGCCTGTCTCTCCACCTAACTGATTCACATCATGCTCCATGACTTGCAATCTAGATGCGGTTGCCGCACTTTCCTGTGGAATGTCCACTACTCTTCGCGTTGTCGCCATGATAGTTGAGACTTCAAAACCAAGTGGTCGTTGCTCTCCTTCATCAGTTCTTGTGGCTTCGTGCTCCATCTCCGACACTTGCTGACGTTCTTGGTTGGTCCTCTCCCTTGCTTCTGCCTCCCGAAGTTCTCGCTCACTCTCACGCTCCTCCCTCTCTCTCTGTTGTCTTGAGCCCTCTATTCTTCTTGCAGCAGGGCGCGGAGGTATCCTTTCGGTCCCTAATGCACCTTGCATTCTGGCTGAAGCTAGAGCACTCTCACGCCCATAAATTGGCGTAATGCTGTACTCGGTTAGAGATCCTTTGCAGACTGGACACTCTTTATGGTAGGAGTGCACGTGCAACCATCTGTACAGGCACGGCCAACAGAAGAGATGGCCGCAGCATGTAACAACCGCTTCGTTCGCTTTCTGAAAGCAAATGTTGCATTCGAAATTCTCCCCTATGCCTGTTGATTCTTCAATTGCTGTTATTGTCGAAGTCAATCGAGACAACCTTTCTTGACTCCCTTCAATTTGTAGAGTTTGCACGATGGTTCCACTTGTCACAGGCCCTGCTCATAGATCCAATCAGTAAATTTATATCAGAATACCCATTGCAGTCAGGAGAATTAAATTAAAGATTCCGCATCGATTAGTAATATTTTTAGAGTCGTGAAACTCTTGTGATATCTGTGCAATTTGAGGAATCTCCTTGATACATAAATTACGTTTTTACATCGATGAATTACCTGTGATGCTGGTTGCAGTGTTCTGTTCTCGGTTGTTGTGCTCTATGCCTGCAGCGACAGAGTGTACATTCGAAATGATTCCCCTGTTTGTCCTGTTCCGCCTTCTGATTCTCTGCCTCACATGTGGTAGACTCCGAGGCAGAATTCGTTGCATCTGCCCTTGATTTCCAGTATCAAACGTGGTCTGGCCGCTCTGAACGTAACTCTCTGCTTGTTGCATGAAATTTTGCTGCTGGAGCCCTGCATAACCTTGCAGCTGTTCTTGCACAGATGGACGGTAGCTTTGGTAACCATGATGCACCAGTGCTGGTGCGGCGTATATATTTCCAACATGTATACTACTAGGAACATAACTTTGCTGATCAGAGTGTAGTTGTTGAGAGTCTGCAATTTGAAATATAGGGTAACTCTGTGTCCCTACTTGCTGCATGAGCATATATGGATTATAGGTAGTTACTGGGGTTGTAACACTGAAGTTCAAATCGACAAGTCTCGAAACTGACATTTCCGGCTCAGGTCCAAAAACTTGAGAGCCTTGTGCCGTGCTGCTCTGATTGTCTGCCCCAGGCAGTTGTGTTGCCATGCCTAGAATTCTACCCAGCACTGTTTTTGCTTGTTATTGCATTGTCTTAGTAACTAAATTTTTTCTATGATGTGAAGACTCTGATCATAAATGCTTTGATGCTTGCATTCCTTGCCAGATTTTTTTATGATTGGTTGAACAAAGTGCAGGTGTTACGGGAATGAGGAGAAACTATCTCCTATCAGATATCACCTTCCAACCTGTCAGCTGCGTGATTTGTTGCTTTCGACATCATGGTTGGTCATGATGGTGAATGTGACGCCAATCGGCGGTGCAGGCTGCCTGAGCCTCAAGGTGTGCAACCGCATTCCATATTCGTGCTTATGTCTACGCACCAAGCATTCTTTTTCTTTTTTAAAAACCAACCATTCGATTGATTGGTACTGAATTCGTTGGTTTCGGAACAGTCGGTGGAATGTGCCCGATGCACTTGAACTGAAACCTGCCAACCCAAGAGCCTGGCACCACAGTGATGGCAAATCTTCTGTCGCTTGAGAGCAGATTGCACTTTGGGCTCTGAAGGATCCTGCTATTGAGAGACAAAAGGGTATGGACACAAACCTCTTGGGAAGGAGCATGCGAGTAACCTATTATCTAAATTTCCCAATCTCTTCTTGCCACGTCGGATTAAAGGAAGTGAACATCACTGTAGAAGCAACATTTGGAGAACATCAGATTGGAGTGAGGAGGATGAGCATACTGTTGGTACGCTGGTTTCTCCTTTCCTCACTTTGCGTGACTCATCGTCACCACGACCGTAAACAAAAATGAACAATCGTCCTATGTTAAACAACGAAACCGTCTTGCGGCTCCCTATTTAAGCTCGCATTTCTGAATTTCCCTGGATATGACGTAGCATTAATTCCAGTTTGAGCAGTTTACTTTTTGCTTGAGTTGAACTTAATTTTCGTGAGCCTGGATTATTAACCTCACAATTGTATTCGTATGGTTTCACCGCGCTCATTTCAGAGTCTATGTCAGGCCACAAATGGAGGTGAACAGGAACCTAAATGATTTTAAAACGTAACATCATGTACAAAACCTTGAGAACCTAAGGGTAACGAATCTGCTACATCCTCTTACTCTCTCAGAGAGATGAGATGAAAATAAGCCTAAACACATTCTCATCATAGCTCTTATTGTTACGCAACAGTTGTGAAGGTCTGTGATGTTAACCCTACCAGTGGTTTTAAGCTGAAAGGAGACCAGCGACCGTTGTTTCGGTGAGCATGCTTATGGTTTTCACTTATCGCTAATCCTGTCAATGTAATATTTCTGATCAATTTCAACAGTTAATCTTCAATTCAGTAGGCTCAACAGTTAAATTTTGAAAGATTTTGTACCAATTTCACCCGGGCCTCAGACCCGCGCCATGCTCAACACTTGGAGAGAAATGGTGGTTTTGTTAATCTAGTCTGCGTTTCTATAAGTCATAGAAGTGTTTTACAGATCCTCTATTTGTTATAAAAATGTGTCTCGTGACAAACGTGTGCCTCCCTCCTGTTCTAGTGTTAAGACACGAAGATGTGAGACAGCGATGATGCTCCGACTGGAATAGATTTCCTACTCGTCCCACATCATTGCAGCCTCATATTGATGATGTTGTAAGATCCTAACTTTGCAGAGTTGAGAAATCAACGGCAATAGGACGTACGTGAAACTTGTTCAAGGAACTGCTTGTCTTCCTGAATAGGAGTGCTTCGTCAACCAAACAACGTGATGGCTTGTGAGATACCCACCATGCCAGGTACATGCCAGCTTCACTGCAAATGTAGTGAATTAAATTTAGAAAAAAAATCTGTGAACGGTGGAATTCTGCACAGTAGGGTCTGAACCTGCATCAAAGCAAGCACCGAGCGTTTGTCACTCTCGATTAGGGTTTAGAAGCTGTATGAGACAAGAAGAATGTTGAAAGGTTTCTGTGGCGAGGTATGGAGTGCTACTACTACCGTAATTGAATATGCTGGATATTTTGTAACACGCCACCGGAATGAACTGAACTGAGAGTTGTTTGTTGAAACTGCCCTAAGAATTGACTCATTTTAATGACGAGTGTTCAGGGCTTTTATGGTATTTGTGTTGACTTCACCTTCTCTCCTTGTGAAAATCTCTCGTTTCGTGTTCTGTTAGCTCCTATTAGGAATTCTCTTAAGCCATGTGTAAGGTGTTACTAGGAATAGCAAGACATCAAAATATCCATTTCCTCAAAGTGTTAGTTGTGTCTACTAGTGGAAGTATTCGTGATAAAGTACTGATTGCTGAGTGACCTGTTGGAACATGAATCCGAAGCACCTGGCGGGCCAAAGAGCTTCAAGGACCTCAGCAAAGACATTGCAAGCAAACGGCAGCAGTCGCAAGGACAAATTAATGAAGATTATGACCTTTGCATTGACTTAACACTTCGACGGCTAGTATATGGCTCCATGACAGGATTAGCATCTGCACTTGGGTTGTTCAGAAGCCCCTCAACGCGGTAGGTAGCAGTTGCATTTGGCGCAGGGGTGGGTCTGGGATCTGCTTACGCAGATTTCTCACGCATCATGGGCGATAGAACGATATTTTCACCATATCCTAAATGGCCTCCTAATTGAAAACGTCCCCAGTTTAATTGGACTCTCGCTTCAACTGGTAGCTCCTGTGTCGAACCGGTTTTATCCTGTGATCCAACGCCTCCTCAAACGAAGAATTCTTTATCGACAGTTGCAGCAGACAGAATCAGTCTCTTGATGATCCTCTCAAGCCTCTCAATTGGAGCATTCAAATCTTGGAGTAATAAGTGGGTCTTTATACATGTTGAAGCCCATGTTACAAAGTCTTATAAAGGTTCCATGAAGAAAAATCCTGAATTTGAAAGCCTTAACTTTTAAGGATAATATAAAACGAAAAGTGGTCATAAAATGAACCAAATCATTATTTTATTATAAGTCTAAACATGTCAAATTGTATTTTGATTTTAACAATTGTAGTAAACAATTGTAGTAAAATTTTAAATTACATGAGTTACTTTTAGTGACTTAAAATAATTCTACTTAATTCTTTGACGTTTTTTATTAGGTTTTGGATAAGTTTGAACATCTATACTATAGAAAAAGGCTTTATTATTTCGGTTACTAATAGAACTCTAGTAACAAAATGTATCCTTTCAAAAAAATGTTTTCTTCAAAGAAATAAAAAAAAATATGTAATTAATAAATTTTATTTGATGTATACATAGTTTTTTTTTTAATTTCTTTTTTTACACATTGAATTTGGTTTTTTACAAAAATAAAAAATAGCAAAAAAATCCATCCAATTCTGGATAGAAAAAATCCTTATATATATCTATATATATCTTTAAATAAAATATTATATTATAGCTATTAATTTGGAATAGCCTAGGTTCTATAAGGATTGGTATGTGGTTCATTGAGCAAATGTATTGTTTTGGTACCATGTATCTTTAAAATTTCATTGCCTTTTATTTGTTAAAAATAATCATAATATTAATAAAATCTAAACCAATCGTTCAAAAAATTTAAACAGATTAAAAATTATACAACATTTATTTTTTAAACATGCTTGAACTTATAATCATACTCTATAGGAGGTGAATCTTCTTCCCTTATTCTAAACATTTAACCATTTTTTCACTTTATAGTTATGAATTATAAAACAATTCAACCTTGGTTGTTGTTATTATTAAAGATTATATCTATATAAGTTTATTTTATTTTTTACTATAATTAGTAGAATAAAATGATCTATCTTCATAATCCTCATTATTTGATTGTTTTTATATATATTAGATAATTGCATCATCAAGGAATAATATAAAAAAAAGACTGTAAGATATAATTTGTTTTATATGCTTTGTGACATAAAATTAATGCTATTTTTCCTTGTCTATGTGTTTGTTTTTCCAATATTGGATTGGTTTGGATTAATTAATAAATTTTTCTTCTACTAAAAAATATTACTTTATTTTTTTATACATATGTACATATGTATTGTTTAAAGTATCATACATGTGTATTGGTTCTTTATCTTTTTATGGCAATAATAAGATATCATCAACATATCATATTATGGTTTTTTATAAGCCATTTTTAAAAAATTAAAATTTTATTTAATTTTTAATTTATATTTTTATGATTTTAAAATATCTTATTCATAACCTCAATTACACAAAAAAATAGATTTGGAATTAAGAAACAAGCAAATATATATAACAATATATATATATATATATAAATCTTCTATAACATATTTAGTAGTTTAGTTAAGAACTAATTAGTTAAGGTCTTATAAGACTTGTCATTATGTAATTATGCCAACATTGTGTCATTGGTATTATATAAGTTTTTATTTTTATTTTTATTTTAAATTTTTAAAGTCTTATTGTAACCTTTTATAAAAATATATTATTATTATATTTTAATATATTTTAAAAATTATAAAATAATGCCATTAGATTCCAATCTTATAACTTTTTTCATCTATTTTACCAACCTGTTTAATTTTTTTATTAAAAGAAAGGCACTCAACAATTTTTTATCATTAAAACCCAATATATTCATAAAATTACTAAGAGCTTGTTGACTTGCTTCTTATATTAATAATGTAGAACTTTTAGATATATAAGTTTATTTTATTTTATTTTATTTTTTAAAATTATTAGTATTATTATTATAAAAATGGTTAATGAGTTTTAATTTTTTTAATATAAATTGACTTGCATGTTTGTAGTTTCTAGTTTGGTAATACAATAAATAAATAATTCTTTAGATTGAAATAATTATATATATATATATATAAAAATATATATAATCAAAGCATGTACCACTTTTATTTTTTTTAAATAAAATTTTAAAATCACATTAAAATTAATAAATATACCTAATTATAACAAAAATTTAATAAAAATTTAAATAGTTATGATATCTACATGAAAATATATATATATATATATATAAGTATTGTATTTTATAAATTTCTATAAGTTTAATTTATACTTATATACTTTAATTCTATAATAGTATTTTTATAATATTATTCAAATATAATATTCTATTAATATTATCAATAATATTAATAGAATATTACATAAAAAAATAGTTTAATAAATTAAAGATACTTGAATCACACTAGAGACATCTTCCTAAATAAATTCTTGTATATAATATTAGAAATATTTCCATATTTGTCCAAGAATATAGATAAAACATGAAAAAGATCCAAAAAAAAAAAATCAAGCTAAAAGTAAAAAGTAAAAGAAAAAAGGGAGAATAGAAAAACAAAAGGAAGATAAAAACAAAAATGGGAATCTTGTTGATGGATGTTCCCAGCACATTGTCTTCTTTTAACTCAATTTGTCAGAATCAACGGAAGTCGAATCCTCATGTCATGCAATCTTGCTACTACCCCCACAATATATATAGGGGAATGATAAAGTGACCCAAATTTTTACCAAAGCGACCCACTCTAGCTTAAGTATCATTGCATCTTTGGAGCTCCCATCCCTGTTCCTAGCCATTCTCCATTCCCAACTATTGCTAGGGATGGAGGTGGGGGACTAGGAATGTTGGAAATAGAGACGATGATTTGAAATAAGAGAACAACTGGGAATAGGGAAATGGCTGGGAACACTGCATATGGGTCAATTTAGTAAAAATTTGGGTCGCTTTATCATTCCCCTATATATATATATATATATAGTTTTAAGGTTTCATTCTTGCCCTTCTGGTTTCGAATTAGCAGATTATTATTATTATTCTTAATCCCTTCCGAATATTTTTTATGTTCCATTGCCAGAGTCAGTTTCTTTTTCGTGCGTCGGGGCTTCGCGTCGGTGCTGCTGCTGTAGGGACGGAGTTTCTTTTTTGTTGCCAGTTTGCGTCACGGATGTCCCAGTTTGAGGTTGAGAGCAGAGAGCATCTCTTGCCAAGCTTTCGGAAATTATGCGTATGGCCTCTGTTCTCAGTTTGTCGCTGCATTTACCGCTATTGGCTTTGTTGTTTGACGTGAACAGATCGTTTTTCTTCAATGTCGTGGTTCATACTCTTGTTGTTTCTAATCGTACTTCGTCCTGTATGTTCGTTATGGACCTTTTTTTCTTCAATGTCGTGGTTCTTCATGCAACATTATTGTTTGGTTCACGAGGCACAGGTAATTGATAGGTGTTATCTGGAGATGTTTGAGATTTAGTGTAGGACTTATTTTGAATGCTCTCTGCGACGAGAGGTTTGTCTCTGCCGACTTATTATTATTTATTGAGTTGTTGAAATATAACAATGAAAAGAATTTCTGTTGATCGGAATTGATATCCTCTGTTGATGACCACTCTCTTGGCGATATGAAGTACGGGTGTGCGGAGACCGTGGAGTGTTTATTTGTGAAGGCAATCTAGAGTACATTCTGAGTGCAACATGTTTGCGTGGTTGTTTGCGCGCACGGCTTTTAGATCAGCAACCTTAATGGTTGATGTTTCATATTGCTTGGTAGTTTATTATTTGCGGATGTGAATTTTCTTAGTGCTAATTGACTGTGAGAGAAGTGTTGTATTCGACCCAGAATGATCATGCATTTTACTCCTCTTTTACAAAGTTGAGTCTGATTGAGGTGCGGAGTTTATGTGGAGCTTGTCGGAAGGGCCCAGTTTTCGTGTAACATATCATTCTGATGTGGATGGTGGATTGAAAACTGCATTACGGACGCAGCTTCGCGCCTTGAATAGTTTATTTAATATGTCGTTCGAATTAACAAGATTGCGCAATACAGGTTTTTGGAGTTTTAAAAGTGACAAGTACCGGAGTAAACGTCATCGACTGGTGCAACTATAAATTGTTTTAGGTTATACGGTAGCCATGGATACTGCTGCCGGCCGTCCAAAAGATGATGTTTCTTTGCCGAAAGGTACGAAACTCGTTTTTACTTTGACTGCTGGATGGTTCGGTGGGTGTTTTGTTATCATCTATCTCTACTACGTGGTTTTCGATCAGCGGAATTGTTTCTTTTGTGGCTTTATAAGGAAAGTTGCACAAAGATTTTAAATCCGTTTTATGCTTAGATTTTGTGCTCAAGTCGGTAATAGCTGTGCTAGACGGTGGCAGATGGTGGCTTACATACATTCATCCACTTACGTGCAGCTACCATGACAAAAATTATCAAAGAGATGTTGCCCCCTGATGTTCGGGTTGCCAAAGATGCACAAGATTTGTTAGTGGAATGTTGTGTTGGTAAGGTGTCTACCTGTGCCATTTGCGATTTGTTGGTTCCCCATAACTTGCCTAGGGGCTAAATTCGTTTCAACATTAATACTTTTTGCAAATCTTAGAGGTTGTGTTCTTGTCCTTTCAAAGCGATTCTTGTGTTATGTTAGAATTTTGTTCTTTTTTCCCACTTGGTCCATGGATTTTGTCGATCCTGATGTGGTGACTTGTGGTTGCAGAATTCATCAATTTGATCTCTTCCGAGTCAAATGAGATCTGCAGCAAGGAGGAGAAGCGCACGATAGCACCAGAGCATGTCCTGAGAGCACTTGAGGTTACGCACCAGAGTGTCTTTTTAAAAATTTGAAAATTAAAATTGAAATTATTACAACTACTGTAAGCTTTAATCATGTTATATAATTGTGCATGTTAGGGTGTGAGTTCTATCTGTCCATGATTTTGAATGCTTGTTAAGATATTGAATTACTGTGCTCATCAATTATGATTCTTTTCACTGTTTCTAGTTCCATGTTCCTGATAGAAATGTTCAGTCTCTGCTGTAATTTTCAATGCTTAATTTCAGTTGTCGCTCCATCATGTTGATATTTTGTCTCAATTTATGATTGTAAGTTTTAAATTTATAGTGTTTTTTGGAGTTCTTTCTGCCTTCAAGACTTGACCACTCTATCTGGCTGGCTTTTAACAGAAGTTGGCTGGTAATTCATGCAGATTCTAGGTTTTGGAGAGTACATGGGGGAAGTGCAAGGTGCCTTCGAGCAGCACAAGAATGAAACCCTGGTACATTCATTTTGGCTCATGTTAATCCTCTGCATGCTTTCTATCTCAAAACCCTGAGAACTCGATGCTAGGAAGCTAGACATGAACTGTTGCTTGATGCTTTGCAGTCAATCATCATGCGGAAATAGATTTTCTTGAACAGAAATGAAAACTCAGCATTTGATTTGCCCCAGTGCATTAACTGAAATAAAAGATTCCTACACTATGCTAGTTTTTAGAGGCTATCGTGTTGTTTCAACTCAACTTGAATGTGATAATCTCGAATTGCGAACGTGTGGTTGTATGTGGTATTTTATCAATTACCGTCAAGTCTGCACGTAGTTAATTTTTCCACTCGTGTGGCACAGGAATCCCCAAAGGTTGGAGGAAGATGGGCAAAAGAAGGAGGAGGGGGCATGACAGAAGAAGAGGCAATAGCTGCTCAACAAAGAATGTTTGCGGAAGCACGTGCCCGCATGAACAGTGCTGGAGCTCCAGCACCCTCTGCACAGGCCAATGACTCCAGCTAGGATTGCCTCATTGAACAGAAGCATTCTCCTTGTACAATGAGGTTCCCTCACACCTGTTTCTGATATTGGTGAAGTAGTTAATTTGTGATCGATGCCCAATCCTCGATCTGTAAAGAGTCAAAACATGAAGCATGTGAAATTTCATACCCAAATACGGAATTGTATTTTGCCTTCAGAGGCCGTTGATTACTAACACTGCTTAGTTTCTCTCTCATCGAGCTGTTGGTACGCAGTTAAGTGGCCCAAATTTAGCAAACTGTCACAATGTTGGTAAGCTATTCACTGTACAATATTGTCCACATTGAGATGGTAGTCAATTTTTGCTTTTGACTAAATCTAATCAATGTTAAATAACTTGGAGTGCTTTTTTCTTGTCTATATGCACAAATACATGCAAATATGCAAATATGTAAGCTTGCAATTATAAAAGTTTTGAGTGTTTTGATTAAGTGTAGATGGTGGCTACAGAGCAAGGTTTTTGAAAACCTTGGAATTGACATCTTATCCACCACAAAAATGAGGATATAATTTAAATTTAGTTCTTAAAGATATTTGATGATGAAATTTTTTACTAAATATAAATTTGGTTTTTATTTTGTCTTTGTTAGATAATTGTGTAGTGCGCCCTACAAGTAAGAAATAATCCTTATAGTACTTAGTTGTAGTCAAATCAATTGAAAACAAATATATATTTCTATCTAAGTAATTCACAATTTTTTTTGGTTGTATCAAGTGTTGAGGAATAATAATAGTTAACAAATATATATAAATGTGTAGTATAGTTGAGTATCTTAAGATTAAATCAATTTAACTTGAGACAAAAATTTAATATAGATAAAATAATCTTTTAATATAATTCATAGAAATTTAATTTTAAGCACAATCTATAATTAATAGTGCTTTATTCTTATAAGATTTTATAAATCTTATATGATGAAGCAAATTAAAAGCAACTTCAATTATAATATTATTATTCTTATTAAAAACTCAATTTTCTTCTAAAATATTATTTTATTTTATTTATTCATTATTAAATTTATAAATTCCAAATTTTATATAAAAATATTTAAAGATATTATGAATATATTTTCTACCATTATATGTATTTAATATTTTATTGGTTTAGATAATAAATATTATTAAGGCCTCATTAGGAATATAAAAGAGATGAAAGACATACCAAAACCTTCATGATTTGACAATTGGCCAAAAGAAACAAAAGACTTCTAACTTTGTGTATAAATGTTTCTTTGAATTGATCACTTATGAAAAAGCTAATGATTAGTGGAGATTTTTTGTTGCTCAAGAAAATCACAACTATAAGCCTTCATTCCACACATCAAGTGATGTTTTAAATCAATAGTTGATTGAAGTTCAAAAGCTTGTCATTTTTGCAATGTTGTAATCAAGAATTCCAATCAAGAATATTAATACCATCTTGTAGGAGGAGGATAGTGACATCAACATCATGACTAAAAACATGAACAACATCAAGCAAAAGATAATTAAGAAACAAATGAATAAAAAGATGTTGTCAAGTTATATAAAAAATAGTATAAGAATTCATTAGATATCTACCTATAAAAGAATTTGAATTCACCTTGAAGTTTGATTTACAACCCAAATTAATATGTAAGATATTTAAAAACATCCAAATAGAAGCCAAATCTCATAATCTACTTGAGAATTGGCGAGCCTTTTCTTTAATCTTGATACTAATCTTTTAATATCAATATCTCTTGATATTACTATCCAATTGCTCTCAAACTTTACATAGTTATTAGAAATCAAGTTTGCTACTAGTATGAAATATTTTTATTTCAATTCAATTGGAAAATTATTGAAAATCTTAAAAATCTTTACTAATCCTCCAAATTCCTAATTTTAATATGTAAATACATTTGAATTTTAATTACTGTCATTTAAATCATTTGATCAAGCTCAAACTTACAATACAAATCTAACATAATAATAATAAAAAAGTAAAAATCTTCATCCTAATCTCATAAAATTTTCTAAAATATAAATCCTTTATATTTAAAAAAAAATCAAAATCATGTCAAAACAATCCAAACTTTGTAAAACCTTTACAAAGTTATTATAAATTCAAATCTTTCTAAATTATTTTTTAAAGAACATTATTTTAGTTTGGATTTAAAACCTCTTCTTTGATTAAACAATGAATCCCAAAGTTGCCATGGATATATAATTTTGTACCTTAAAATTTGATTTTGATCTTAGTTCACAACTGGTCTTCTTTGGGTATCAATTCTTAATTTCTTAAGGTAATTTTTGCCAAAAGCTACTCTTAACTTATTCTTGAAGATGCCTATATTAATTACTATTCTTATCTACTTTATTTTATTTTATTTATGGCCATATAAAGTTAATAAAAGTTTATTTTGTAAAGAAGCAATATTAGCATTTATCAATTTTATTGTGTTCTTAACTATTATCTATGCTTTTAATATAACTTTTTATAATATTTTAAATTAAGCTCTTTTACAATATATTTTTTTTTCTTTCACTTAATAGTCATGTTATAATATGACAATGTTACTTGATGTATTGATCAATATTTTTTCAAAAAAAAACTACAAGATCAAATCAAGATGGATATAAAAAGAAAGATCACTCATTTTTTTTTGCCCATTCTAAAACAATGGATCTTATATGCATCAATTGTTAGGTCCTCCTCTTGGATATTACATACCTCTTGAATGTCTACAACCTATGACTATTCCACATTATTAGATCAATTATATTTAATATTATGTTTTCTATTATGTATGTCTTTATAAGAAGCAAAGAGCCAATATTATATCTAATTGCAATGGAATACATATATGATTTATTCCATGCAAAGAAACTTCCAAACATATTTGTTATTAATTATGAATGTATTCTGATCTTTGTATTAGAAACCATATTTTGGCACACCTATTTTAATTTGTATATGGCCCATCAAGAAGAATATTATTAAAAATTACAAGAAATATGTCAATAATAAAGATACGCGGGATGATTTTATGAATGAATGACATATGGTATGGTGTTTGGCCTTATATTTTTTATTTTTTATTTCTTTATTTTTAAATCTTTATTTTTTATGAGATTTATACTAATGGCAACTAATATATTTTTTTACAAGTGATGTATGCTCAAACCAAAGAAGCATTTAATAAATTGTGGACTATATTTAAGTTAAAATACAAGTGTATAATAACACACAAAGAAGCAATTTGGTATCTTATTTGGATTGATCCTCTCTAAGAATTTTTTTTGCAACATGGACAAACCACTTCCATCACTTTGGATAAGTTGTTACTTCTTGTAGATAAAGTGCACACACTAGGCTAAAAACATATTTAAGAATAAGTAATTTTGATCTATTTTTGTATTATAAATACATTGATTAGTCCATTAATAACTACTTACATGACAATACCACTAACTTAACATATAAAAGAAAGAATTTCGTGCTATTTTTTTGGAAATGAAAAAAAAAAGATATTTCAAAACATTTAAAAAAAAGTTTCTCATTTTGTACTTTTAAAGGTCAAAGAACAAGAAAATTAATTTTTTTATTTATTTTATTTTTAAATAAATTTAATATAATATATTTTGGCCCCCATAATTTCTAATTTTTAATGGGACATTATAAGGTACCAAGTTCAATCAAATAATAAACCTTGCATAATGGTCTTTATAAAAATTTGGAGCATGATATGCTTTCATACTCTCTAAAACCTAATCTCTATTAAGAAAAGGCTTAAGTTATCAAACTTTGACATACACTAGTATATTTGGAGAGTGCAATCATTGTGTCTTGAAGCAATTCAAAACTTAGAAGTATCATTGCTAGTTATATTAAAAGCAATTAGAAATAACTTTGCCACTCTTTCCAATCACCAATAAGAAACTATATTTGAAGAATTGCATATGCTATGACAAAAAGTACCACAAGCAATTAGGGATCTAGAAGTTGTAGAGACAAAGGGACATTTGGACAAAAATACTTCCACTCGGCTAATTTATCAAGCTTTTAATACTTGAAAGGTCAGCTAAAGCCAAAAAATAGAAAGTTATGGTATTTTTGGTCAAACTAAGCATAATAAAATCTCAAAAATTTTTCCAGCTTAAAAGATTGAAAGAAAGCAACTCACATTACCAAAAAACGTCTAATACTATAATTTGATGGTATTGGCAATGCATGCAATGATATTCCTACCTTTTCCAAAATATTGGCTCATTTCTCTTATGCAAAGATTGCACATACAAATTTTGCTACTAAAAATTGGATGAAGAGCACAGAATGGCAAAAAAAAAGCGGCAAAAAACTTTGCTAAATTAATGGCAGAACATCATAGGAAGAATTATTGCAAAATGAAGAAGGGAGCTAAGTACTTTTTTTTCTATTGCATGGTATTTATTTTTGTGGAGAGATATCAAAGGTATATGTCTTCAGCGATTCGGAGTTGTGTCTTTATTTGGAGCCATATTGTTAAATTAAATTTATATTTTTAATTTTTTTGATAAATCAAACATCTTTTGAAAGTTGTGATGCTTGTAAATTAGTTTTGGTATACTTAAAATAATATATCTATTAAAATTAGAAATAAAAAATAAATAGAATTTGAAATTATAATAAATAAAATTATATCAATTTTTAATATAATATTAAAAAATACAATAAAATATTCTTTTATTTTAATAGAATTATTTTTATAACAAAATAAAAAATTATTATTAAAGATTATTTATGCCAATATTATTAAAAAAATATCTAATATTAGATTAATTTTTTATATTAATTATTAAAGTTGTTCTATATTTTTTTTAATATCCATTTTTTGTAGTTTAGAATAGGTATGGATGTGTAAAAAATATTATATTACATGAATTGATGCTTATTTAAGTTTTAATTTATAATTATTATATATGGTATTTATACTTTAAAATTTTCTTCTTACACAAATACTGTGTTCAACTTACAATATATTAAATCAAATCTCAAAAGCATGATGTATTAGAATGATAATTTTTCTATGTTTATTTAAAAGAATCATATTTACTCTACATACTTATCATATTTTATGTATACGCCCATCAATGATAAAAATATTATTTTATTTGAAAAAAATAAAATAACATTAAATTTATTTTGATTATATTTTACATATGGTATAAAATTTTTTAAAAAATATATTGATATATATATTCGTAAATTTATTAAAACCTATATATATATATATATATATATATTAATAATTCATTTTGAAAAATCATTGATATCTTGGTATTAAAAATATACACATTTATACTATCAATTTCTTTATTAATATTGAATCTATTTAGTTTGATATAATTTTTTAA